TTATTTATATATGTATGTATATGTATATATATATATATATATATATATATATATATATATATATATATATATATATATATATATATATATATATATATATATATATATATATATATATATATATATTCAATGTCTTTTTCGGCTTAGTCCCTTTATTAATCCGGGGTCGCCACAGCGGAAGGAACCGGCAACTTATCCAGCACGTTTTTATGCAGCGGATGCCCTTCCAGCCGCAATCCATCCCTGGGAAACATCCACAAACACACATTCACGCACACTCATACACTAGGGACAATTTAGCCTAGCCAATTCACCTGTACTGCATGTCTTTGGACTGTGGGGAAAACCGGAGCACCCGGAGTAAACCCATGCGAACGCAGGGAGAAGAAGCAAACTCCTCACAGAAACGGCATATACATATATATATACATATATATATATATATATATATATATATATATATATATATATATATATATATATATATATATATATATATATATATATATATATATATATATATATATATATATATATATATATATATATATATATTTTGTGTGTTTGTGGGGAGTTGGGTTAATACACGACGTGTCTACACGCGCGGTACTCCCGCGCGTGCCCCGCGTTGTGGCGCAGGCGATAGTAGAGCGGAGAGTGCTATGAGATTAATATATCAATATAGAGCGCGCGCGCGCGCGCGCGTGCGCGTGTGTGTTTGTGTATTTATAACAATAGAAAACAAGAAAGAACAAAAATAAAAATAAAAAAAAATTAATATTTTTTTTTATATATATATATATATATATATATATATATATATATATATATATATATATATATATATATATATATATATATATATATATATAAAGTGTAAAAAATTACATGTATTTACCATATTAGTTCGCCTACTGTGTTATGTGTGCAATCTGAATATACCATCAATTCCCAAAGGACGGAATCAAGCACCACCTCACCTGTTTTCCTCATTTAAGTATAGTAGCAGTTATATGATGTGCAAAAGAATTTCGATCAATATTTCTGTTCCATACCGGTTTTATATTTGCCAGTGTGTTGATGCTTTTTAAAAATTTTTTTTTGTAGGTGATTTATTTAATGTAATGTCTCTCTGCAGGTTTTGCAGTCACAGGCCACGTCGATGGTTCCAGGAGAACTCATGTCTATGTGAGTGAAGTGAAACCTGAAGGCCTGGCATATATTCACGGTAACATTTCAGTATTTCCTTGTGTTTGCTTACGCTTCAATAGCATGAACGCAGATGATGCGACTTACGGTGTGTGTTGTTTTGCAGGTCTGAGAGCTGGAGATGAGATCTTGACTCTTAATGGCGTGAGTGTGACGTCTCTGGATCTAGGTCTCATGCAGAGCTTCTTCAGTCAGCAAGAGCTCAATCTCGTGCTCAGACGCGAGGAAAACAGTCCAGACCAGCAGAGCTCTGTCTGGCCCGACTGTGAACCTGATCAAGCCCAGCATCCTCACACAGACATTCACCTGGAGCAGCTGAGCACAGGTACACTAACTTTTTTTTATGATTGATATATTTATATATAATATAATGTTTTAACAGAAAACAGTAAAGCACCATTTACACTTCAATGACACAAAGCAGCACAATCCAATGCACTTTAATGAACAAGACCAACAGTGAGAGTTATATATTACTATCTTAAGTCACTTAAATAAGTAAATGTGTTACTAAATGTTACTAAATGTGTTACTTTTTAGGGAAAATAATGTTATGCTATGTTATTGTTACTCAAAATTGTAATATATAACTTATTAATAATATAGCACTGACTGGTTAGCATTGGTGACAGGATGTGGGGGTGGCAAATGTTGGGAGATGTGCAACAAAAGTTCAGAAATACTCTATGCTAAGGAAAAGCAAGTTTTACAAGCAATTTCCATGGGAAATGAAGTTGCTGAAATTCACTCAATTCGTCTGCTGGCATATTTCAAAGAAAAAACAAGCTGAATGATGCAAGGGTCTTTTTAATAATGTTGATTAGGAGTTTTGGACATAACAAAGTTCGGTCCCACTTTATATTAAGTGTCCTTAACTACTATGTACTTACATCAAAAAAATAAATACAATGTACTTACTGTGTTTATAATGTATTTGAGAACACTTGTGGTGCTCTTGAGTTGGGATAGAGGTTGGGTTATATGGACAGGTTTGGTGGTATGGGTAGATTTAAGGGTGGGTTAAGGTGTAAGGGATGGTCAACAGTGTATTTACAAATGTAGTTACAAAAGTAATTACAGATGTAATTACAAACATGCATTTAATCACGCATAAGTACAGAGTAAATACATGTATTTACACAATAATTACATTGTAACAAACTATTTATTACTATGTAAGTACATATTAGTTAAGGCCACTTAATATAAAGTGGGACCCAAAGTTCTTCTTGGATTGCTTTTGCTTGTTGTTATTATAATTTCAAACAAAATCCGGCGAAAATGAACTTCGTTTTCAGATGATTTCGCTAGTTATTATAATTTCAAACAAAATCTGGCCAAAATGATGTTTGTTTAGGAATTTTGAAAACAGTTGAAATTTCTCAACATAATAGTTTTAATAACTCATTTCCAATAACTGATTTATTTTATCTTTGCCATGATGACAGTGAATAATATTTGACTAGATATTTTTCAAGACACTTCTATACATGCTTAAATTGACATTTAAAGGCTTAACTAGGTTAATTAGGTTAACTAGGCAGATTAGGGTAATTAGGCAAGTTATTGTATAATAATGGTTTGTTCTGTAGACTATCGAAAAAAAAAGAAA